GCAATAAAAAGAATAAAATACCTCAATCCAGGTTATAAACTTTGACCACACGTCAGACCGCATTGTACGGCTCCTGTGATGAGTGAGTGCCCTTTTTACTTCGGGGAACCACACATCGCGTAGGGTCCAGTAATGGACAAACACCGGCGGGCGCGTGGCCAATCCCGTTGGGGCGTACCATGCAATGCCCGCCCTACTGACACGTATATCAGGGACCGCGGTCCTCGGGATACGTGCCAGCGGACAGGTGCAGGAGTATTGTCTGGTTTTTACCGTTAGGTAGAGCCCTACTCATTTCATCGAGTCTCTATTTTGGGTGAAATGAGTGGGGAGGAGTCCGGATAACTCCGCTACGCTTCTCCCGGTGGGCGGAGAATGCTTACGCATCCTAGAATTTCCATACATTAAAAAAAAAGTTATAAACTTTATGCGAACCAATGAGGTCTATATATTAATAGACAGGTTATACGCCAACATTATTGCATTTTAAAATGGGACAAGTAGTCCCCGCCACAACTTCCCTTGGCAACAACCGCCATTAAAGAGCACTAATGTATAATAGTCTCTTTCACTCAAATTCATAAAGTAAATTACACCTCGCTCTTTAGCCTCTTGACATTACATTCTTTTAAACTGTATTTACGAATGGAATGACACGTTTTTCTTGTCTCTAAAGTTCCCGTGTACTTTCTGAGAACACACGGGGCTTTTTGACAGGTAAAATGTAAGATTTATACATTGTAGCAAAGTGTAGCCGCGGCGAGAGAGGTGTTCAACTGAATGCAAGTCGTGCAATAACTGACTTTCGTATTGACAAATTAGAAGCGTGTATGACGTATCTATGACTTTAAAACATCATACATGCGTACTAAATTACATCCAAATCCGTTCAGTAGTTTTTGCGTGATTGAGTGACAAACATACAAACTTTCAATTCTAAAATATTACTTGCGGCCGGCCGCGACGTAATTTCCCGAAAGCTGCCCATCCGAGCTGGATACGATGAGAAACCTCATTCTCAAAGTTGGACTTGCCTAACTGGACTGCCTCGTCTGTCCCAAGTAAACATAATGGACAACTTCGAGTGTAAAAATGTATCAGGCACTGAAAAAATTTACTTCTTTTAATGATTACAATGTTATTTGAACAGTTTGAACAGTAAGTTGTCTATGATGTCGCGTGACGCATTAACGTATAACATTTTAGAAAAATATAAGCATAAAAACCTTATTGATAAAGGTGGACCAGGTGAAATAATAACGTTCAAATATTGACGAATATTTTTAGTTTTACTGCAAATTTTACACCAAATGGCCTAGCCTCAAAGTAAGCATTCTCAAGGCTCGTGTCATGGGATACTAGGGTAACGGATAGAATACATATACTGTAAATATATAAGCATCATCATCATCATCATCATCATCATCATCATCATCATCATCATCAGCCTATTAATGTCCCCACTGCTGGGGCACAGGCCTTCCCTATGGATGGATTAGGCCCAGTGCGGATTGGTGGGTGCTAACGACTGCATCTGCAGCCGGGACCAACGGCTTAACGTGCCTTCCGAAGCACGGAGGAACTCGAGATAGTAAATTTTTGGTCACCCATCCAATGACCGACCACTGCGAAAGTTGCTTAACTTCAACGATCGCAGCGGAAAGCGCTATCCACCTGCGCCAATACTATATAAGCATAGCTATATAGTAATACATATTAAATATCATTGACTGGAGTACAAATGCTCGTATTCATCACACAAACATCTGCTCCCACCGAGATTCGAACCCGGGAGACCTCTCGAGTAGGCGCCACCATGAAACCCGGCGTACAAACGACTAGGCCACGGAGGTCGTCAAACTAATAAAACTAATAGGGTATTTTCCAAATTTTTGAAAACTGCTTATATTTAAAGATTGGGAGAAACGATTTAACAGAAAAATTAAAATAAATTAATTCAAGTCTTTTTTTCTCCATTGAGGCTCGATTCGATGATATCTACTGTGTGACGTAACTTTGTGTATGCTATGTAATTATCTGAAGGTCAAATTATAAACTTTTTTTACGTTCGGGATAAAGTTTTAATATAATACTTACACAAAAATTTTTAAGAGAAAAGAAATCGTCAAATAATTACTCCGTAATCACAGATCGTCCACAGACTACATAGGTGTTAAAATTCTTTACACAAAGTTGTAACACAGAAGACATCACCGAACCGAGCGTTTTGACAAATGTAGAAAACTTAACTAACTTGATTTTTGTCTCATTATGCAACAAGTTGTTAATATCAAACCAATAAACTACTTTTGCAAGTGCATTGTTCACTTCGTCAAAATAATATAAATGTCTATTTATTTTGAAGATCAAAGAATTGTCATCCGCAAACAACACAATATCGTGATTGTCTTTTATGTATACTAGGGCAAGTCATTTATGTATACAAGAAAAAGAAAAGGACCGAGAATCGAGCCCTGCGGAACACCAATTGTGACTAAAGATCCTGGACATCTTTTACCATTATTTTATGTCAACATGCTGTATTCTCTCGGACAAGTATGAAGTCATAAGGTCGAAGGCGTTGTTCCTAATGCTGTAATGGCGTAATTAGTATCATGACTATCAAGAATAACACTAACAATTTGACGCATCTTATTCTCATAATTTATTCATTTATTTAGACAACTGCTAGATGTTTAAATCTAAAGAAAAGTTTACTAAAAAAAAAATCCACGCGGACCAGGCAGCAGACGGGACTCGAACCCGCACCCTTAACTATCCGGGCGAATGCACTGACCAATAGGCTACCGCGGCCCTGACGGCCGTGTCGAATTTTTCTCTAGCCTTAGGCTGCAAGACATCGCGATCTCTTCGCATTCAAGGTAACCCACAATAATAGCGATAATCGCACATAATAGAGATATAGAAAAGGGTGCGGGTTCGAGTCCCGTCTGCTGCCTGCTACGCTACGCTACTAATTTTTTTTCTAGCAAACTTTAGATGTGTATATATATAACAGACAAAAATTCAAAAAACTATATTTTTGATTTCGGTATCGATTGTAGATCACACCCCAAGTATTCTTTTAAAAAAATATTCAATGTACAGTTCTGACTTTCCTACCATTTCATGATATGTATAGATCAGATATTTGGCGACTGGTCTTCTCACACTCAACATCAGGTGGGATGAAGTGATTTGCTGTGCTTTGCATAAACACACACACACAAAATCATAATTAATTATCAAAAAAAAAACATTAAATAAATTGTTACTAGTGGTTGCCTACTGGCCGAAATTGGTTGGCTTTTTAGTTTCGTATTTTAAAAGTGTAATTGAGAGTGCGTCGATCGCATGGAAAATTAATTAAAATATAAAATAAGGTTAAAATGCAATATTTTTTTACGAAAGTAAATATGTCAATTAACTTTAACAGATGTATCTTTAATAACATATGATGACAATACTCAACACTTTCTGTGAACTGTCTTGTACGAGGTGTGGGTCTAGTGCAAGCGGTGAGTTGTGCTGTGTTGATTTGCTAGTGGTTTACAAGAGTATAATGAAAACACACATACCTAATATAATCTCTTCATTCAGATCATTAAAGGTGCATTTTGACAGTAAAAAGTCGACATCTTGACGGCGCCATATTTGGTTGTCTTGGTTGTGTAAGCTTGAACATTGTTAGTTCTAAGAAAGACAGCCCCCGTGGTATTATAAATTAACAGAGGACAGGAATCAGTTAGCTGAATAACATGGTGATCTTTCAGTAAATTGTGTGATCAGTGACAGACCTATGCACTGGAAAAAATTGACAATAAGTGATAGCGCAAACGACTCTCCTATTGATTACGCAACTCGTTATTTTGTTTTTAATATTATATGTTCGTCATATTAATTGGGTACACTGAAACTTTTCTGCAGTTTGTTCACATTTTTAGTGTTGTGTTTAGGTACACGAAGATCACGCATATCGCTTATTCACGACAATAGCAGTAATAAACATGTCGTCTGTTCAGTCTTGAACTCGGCCGTATCTTCGACTGTCGTCGAGATCACCACCATCTCTGCGTGGGTCCGCAACATATTCAAATGTTTTAGCGAAATACAAGTGTCCCCGGCGCTACAACTAGGATCATCTCCGGAACCTTCTGGTATCCAGGTTGGTAAGAGTATGTTAAGATTAAACTTGTAAACAAAATATTTTTATTTGAGTTCACATGCTCTCATTAGTTTTCGAATGTTTTTTATGTATCTCGCCAAAACACTTAGTGCAGCTATAGTGTAGTTAATATGATGGATACGTTGTTTATCCAAAAAAAGGAAAAAATATTATTATCTATTACGACCAGATAATGTCAGACTGTTATCAACCGTTATAATGATTCTTATTTACAGACTATGACTTCTAGCCTATCACTATTGGTTCCGAAAATCAATTTAGAAACGAATCAAACTTTCAGGTATAGGATATAACACATGGAGCTATGTAAAAATTCAAATCGAAGATTGTTCAAAGAGCTCAATATAATACGATTTATATAATGAACAATATAATAATAAAAACACTTATGTGATACATTTATTTGATAGAATAGCTTTTTGGGCAATATATCAAAATTGGCAAATATAAACAATGCCCAAAATTATATTAAAGTTATAGTGTTTCGACCAATTTATACATAGAAACACTAATTCATTTAATAGATACATATCATATAATTATGTTTCATCATTACTGTTTATTGCTTAACTTTATCTTATCATAAACTTTTTCTCAAATTGCCAAACTGATTATTATTCATCATGCTTTTGTATGTCACTGTTGTTAACACTTATATTAAATATCAAAGGGGCGATAATTAATAAAGTCTGTATATGCAAAAGATATCGATCACCGCTTGCAGTGGCACCGCGCACGCATACGCGAATATATAAACGGTGTTGGCCGCGCGACGCATTAGTTGCGAACCGTCATTCAGACGTCTGACCGCAACATGACAGTATTCACGTCGGCCGCTCTGCTCGCCGCACTCGCTATCGTCGCACGCGGTAAGTGGAACCCCACCCTTAGCACCCACAATTACCACGATATTACCGAGGAATAAGTTAAATAAAACTAGTTTTTACGGGTTAATGCACGAAACTTTATTTATTTATTCACGTTTCGAGGAATAAGTTGTCAAATAAAAATCAAAAAACCTGACTGCTTTATATTAAAAACAGAAAAGAAAAAAACAAGTTCAGTACTCTATAACTCTGTTAAGTAAGGAACAAAGCTACTTTAACAGTCGAGACCCATTAGAAATTCAAGAATGTATAATTTTTTAATAATGGGTCCCGACTGTTATGTAGCTTTGTTTCTTACTGAACAGAGTTATAGACTACTGAACTTGTTATTTTTTGTTTTCAGTTTTTATTTGCAGTAATATAAAGCAGTCGGGTATTTTGATTTTTTCTATTTGCTTTTTTTATTTCAAACTTTTTAGTTAGGATTATAAGACAGTATATACCACAGTCTTGTCACTTGTCACTCGGCAAGGTATTTATATCGCGGGGATTGTTAAAAACCTTGCGGTGATCTAAGCAATTGATTTTTTTAAACAGAGACCTTACCATAGGGTCAATGCTACAATGTGGGTCTCAACTATCGCAAAAATGCGTGAAGTTAATTCAAGTCGTTACCTACATATCTAATGCATGTATATTTTATAGTTAACTAGTACTCATTCAAAAATCATCTTTTGCTTATGTTCTTTTTAGTAGTAATTATAAAATTCATTTAATTTTATCCGTCGACTATCTAAAATTGGCAGTGGCTGCATTGTCAACGTCCGGCTTTAATATTGTGATATACACAAATGCAGTGTCATATCCTAGTCTTATAATTTGTTGTACCTACGTAAGTCACAGATACCAAATAATATGTAGATGCAAGAGGTAAACTTCAAACGCTGTTGATCACCCTATATACAATACCAATCAATGACGTTAATGTCGCAGGTTGACGAAAGCAATTCCCGTCCGTTGTTTTAAACACTGTGGTGGCAACTACCTTATATCGCTTAATTAAATAATTATACAATCCCCAAAGCAAAGTTTATAATATTTTATTAAACTAAAGGCGCGGCATAAAATTTCCATAGCGTTAAGTACAGCGCCATAGCTAACTCATTTATCATAGATCTTGACCGATTAGATTTTGAACAATAATAATTGGAAAGATAAATAAAATATTATCTTTCTAATTACCTATTAGAAAAGACAGATAGCTAAGTCGCTATCATATTATTTTTAATAACAGCCAAAAACTTGGCTAAACAAATTGCTTTTATTGAGCTATGTTCTATTAACTTGACAGTCAGTAGCTCTTCTACTGACAAATTAGTAAATAATAATTATTGTTTAAATTAAATAATGAGACAATAGACAATTCCTCTTGCATATTATTAAATAAAAATTGTTATAACTTTCATAAAAATATTAATTTAACCAAAAAAAATCCATCCAAAAAATTAAAAATTAATGTAAACTTTATCAACCTGATGCATATAAATATTCAAGGAATGATGGATAAGGACTTAGAAATTGAATTATTTATGAATTAGCCTAGCCCCAAAGTAAGCACTGTAAGGCTTGTGTTATGGGATACTAGGGTAACGGATAGAATACATATACAGTACAAATGTAAGTATATTTATATAGAAATACATATTAAACATCCATGACTGGAGTACAATTTGCTCGTATTCATCACACAAACATCTGCCCCTACCGGGATTCGAACTCGGGACCTCTCGAGTTGGCGACACCATGAAAGCCGGCGTACAAACCACTCGGCCACGGAGGTCGTCATGTTAGTTACTTTATTAGTTATTACATTAACGCTAATGTAGAAATGCCAAAGGGGAAGATCTTCCTCCGAGCTGGGTGATGTTAGCTCGGGGGCCGTGGCCCGACTGATGTTGGTCGGGCATCGTATATATGAAGAGTTAGCTTCCGAATTTCATTTGCGCGATGTAGGCTTCCATACTATTATGATCGCAGTGCAGGTAACGTCATCTCTTAAAGGATGGTGAGTAATGATTTCCTCCATCCGTTGTATATATGTGGGGCATATAGATGTCGCCGCCACACTAATGTCTTTTTTTGAGATACCTAATACGGAATAAAATTGTAATTGCGAAACAGCCGCAGCCGCTACAGAATTAGTATATTTATTCGGTATAATAAAGATGTATAGTATACAATTTCTAGCGCATACTCCAAGTAAGCCGGACCTGTCGAGGTGTGAGGCGGCGGCACGGACGGAAACGGGATGGGTGTGCGGCGCCCGGCGGCGCGCCGTCTCCGGCTCAGAATACGCGAGCTTCCTCGCCGTTCCCTACGCTAAACAACCCCTGGGAGAGCTCAGGTTTCAGGTATACACCCCGGCAAACTTCTTGAGCAATAAACATAGACAAGGGAACCTGCGTAGTAACAATACTGCATCCAAATACTTCTACTGCGCAGTGTTTTTTTCTCAAGAAGTTTGGTATTTACCACATTAAAGAATTTTATATCACCATTCAATGCTAGTAAAAATAACTAGAATTGTACTACTTCTATTTCTGGTCTGACAAAACTGTAAGATTCCTTAATCCCGCATGTTGCATAAAATTAAAAATAGTAAATTTATTAAATAAAGACGAAACAAGCAGTCCCAAGAAACAGATGTCATGTCTCAATATTTTGGCAAGTAATAAACACAAAAATATCCTGCAACTGGATATACGGAAGATGTTTCCACATTTAACATCGATTGGGTCCAAATTGTTGTCCACCTGGAGATAGGCCACAATTTAGTCTACAACGGTTCTCAAAACTTTATGCTCTAAATCTAATACACAACAATGTGAAGGAAAATTACAGGCATCTGAAAAAGTAAGAGAAATTGAGATATCCACGAATGATTGAAAATTTTCAGGAGCTCCTCCCAGCAGAACCGTGGGACAACATCAGGGAAGCAAAGGTCGAAGGTCCCGTGTGTCCTCAAACGGACGTGTTCTACGGGCGGATAAAGACGGCCAGCGGCGGCATGAGCGAGGCGTGCATCCACGCCAACATCCACGTGCCCATCGAAGCGTTGCCCGATCCCAAAAAGCCCCCCAGCTTGGATGCAAAAGCAGCCCCGGGTCTACCGATCCTCGTGTTCATTCATGGCGGAGGCTTCGCATTCGGCTCTGGCGATACGGACCTTCATGGCCCCGAGTACCTCGTCAGCAAAGGCGTTATTGTTATCACCTTTAACTATAGGTAATTTTTCTTCAACATAATCTAGAAACTGCAAATCGTAACTGCTCCAGATAAGTGAACCACACAGTATATTCGTAGAACAACACACAGACGATTGCCATAGGGATGGACTGTTTATGTATAGTTTCGGATTTGTCATTTGCGAGGTTTTTAATATCACACAAGAATCACAAGATAACACCACATTTGCCACAGTCAGGTTTAAATTCTCGTTGATATAGTTACGCCACCCACCGTCTAGTTGCAGGAAACTACTGCTTATACTGACACCATATTTTTTACTAATCTTACTTGAAAAGGGTGCTCCATATGCATAATATGATCAGCCTGATGGCAAGCGCATCACAGGCTATAAACGTTTGTTACTAGTGCGTGTCACCAGTTCCCTCCGCCATTACAGGACAGCACTTTTTGTCAGAAGTCTTCTGTACGTTGTATTGTTGGTTTCCAGGTTGAATGTGTTCGGTTTCCTGTCACTGAACAGCACGCAGGTGCCAGGTAACGCGGGCTTGCGCGACACTGTGACGCTGCTGCGGTGGGTGCAGCGTAACGCGCGATTCTTCGGGGGCTCGCCTGGCGCCGTCACGCTGGCGGGACAAAGCGCCGGCGCCTCCATGGCGCAAATCCTGACACTCTCTACCGGCGCACGCTCGCTGTTCCGCAGGTAAGTCAGAAATGGCAAAAAGCAGTTTGCCCGCCTGCTAATAAGCGGCCACCATAGCCTATAGTAACGATGCTTACGATATCAAGTTAACACTTGAACCGTTGCTTAACTTGCCCCGTCCCCTGTCCTGATGAAACCCTGGAAACTTATTGACAAATAGGTATGCGAATATGCTTAAATTTGAATTCTTTATTATATTTGCCTTTTACTGGAGCCTGAATAAGGGAGTTGTCTTCTTAATATTATTCTACAATAATCGAGGGAATGCAGCCATGAGATTATAATATACCTTGTCGACAGCAGGGCTAGCACATAATATTCAGTTCCATAACCATTTTGAATAATGTTGTTTTTTTATCTATGTCCCTGTTTTATATAATTATTTAACATGTTTACTTGTTTGACAAAAATAAATGTAATGTACGAGGTGTGTTCAAAAAATAAAGTGAATTTTCATTTTTCTCAAAAAATATTTATTTATTAATAAATTTTTATTTTATCTGTCTCTCTCTCCAGCATTTTTTCCAATCCTCGAAGTAGTTCTGATTGATATGCACTTTTTGGTATGTCCTTGAGCTCTCTCAGCGATTCCGATTTTATCTCCTCAATCATCGCAAAACGCCGTCATTTCATCGGTCTCTTCAATCTTGGGAACAGAAAAAGTCGCAGGGGCCAAATCTGGCGAATACGGTGGCTGAGGCATGATAACGATGTTGTTTTTGGCCAAATAATCTCTCACAAATTCGGCAATTTTGGAACGAACTACGCTGCCACACGATTCTTTGCCAAAATTTCCGAAAAGATTGCATGGCATGAGCAACCGATATGCCGACATGCTCAGCAACTTCTTTAATTGTGATCTCCATAACAATTTTCTTCACTTTCTCAACATTTTCATCGCTTGTTGATGTATTAAGGCGTCCAGAGCGAGCGTGGTCATTCACATCTTCTTGACCTTCTGTGAAAAGCTTGTACCACATGCTTACTTATACCATCTTTTTTACTCAGAGTACTCTCACCGTATGCCACTGTCAACTTTTCAAGTATTTATGAGCAATTAATCCCATTTTTTACACAAACTTCTTTGATCCATTTATTTCGTTAGCAGTATATCGCCGAACACGCAAAAACAAACTAGCTATATACTTAAAACCGTGAACATATCTTCTAGACGAGTATACCAACATAAAAAATAATTACAATCGAAAGTCGAATGTACGTAGCCCGCGTAATTTGGAAAATCACCTTACTTTTTGAACACACCTCGTATACATATATTCTTAATTTCCAGGGCAATACTACTAAGCTTCTCCGACTACTTCAGCCCTTCAGCGCAATTCGTCAAGACAATAAACAGCCTCTTTTTTCCGCTACTAGGAATCAACGCTACTCTTCCCGCTGACGAGATCCATCAGAAACTCATCGAGACCCCTATCAACGAGATCATGGATGCAAACAAAAAGCTCATTGATTTGTTCGGCGTGACAACATTCACGCCCATCGTGGAGTCTTATCAACCTGGGATTACTCCGATATTAGAAGACGACCCCGAGGTTCTACTTGACAGCGGACGAGGGAGGGACATTCCTCTGCTGATAGGGTTCACAGATGCGGAATGCGAATCGTTCCGGCCGAGATTCGAGCAGATCGACATAGTGGGGCAGATAGAAAAAACGCCCGCACTCGTTGTATCACCTCGACTCACTTTCCTGAGCGGCGACCAGCTTCCCGTAGTAGCCGAACTCATTTATAACAAATATTTCAATGACACGCTAGACTTGGATGGCTTCCTGCGACTGTGCACGGATCAGTTTTATAAGTACCCAGCGTTCAAGTTGGCGAGTAAGACTTCGGGGGAAACGCCGGTGTTCATGTACAGGTTCTCCTATGGTGGAGTGGACAGTGCGTGGAAGGAGGGGCTAGGGTTGAAATTCGAAGGCGCGGGTCATGTTGAAGACCTCACGTACATATTCCGCACGAATTCTGTGCTGGGCCCGCTCGGGGTCAACGAGTCGACGAGGCGCGACGACGACGCCAAAATGAAGAACAAGATGTCAGATATCATCGTCAACTTCATGAAATACAGGTATATAGATACTCTTATTTATACTCTATTGATACTAACTATGCTTTTTTGCTTTGACGATGTTTTTTTGGTATTGTTTAGAACAAACGAAACGAACTAATTCCACAACCTTAGTGAAATCGTAACGTCTCTAATACCATCGAAATTTTTACAAAATTAATAATTATCATTGTGATTCTGATTTACTATGCGCTGCCATACACGGATAGCTTGATGCAGTCTGGATGGACTGCTTTAAGCTGCGACTGCATAGTGAACTACATTCTGCTGCGTACACGTAAGTTGGTAAAAACTGCTCGAAGCTGTTGTATCTGACCGGGGGAGCGATCCGTGTATGTTGATCACTAGCTAACTGCTCGCAAAGTCTGTGTATGGCCGCTCTAACATAAAGAGTATGAGATAACCTCTATAGAATACAGCTAAGCATGAAGTTTATTCCTCCAGTCATCCGATGCCGGGCCCGTTGGGAGCAGGCCAATGGCCGAAGACGGCAGCACGCCGGCCGCCGCAGTACCTGGAGGCAAACGGCCCGAAACGGATGTACCCCACGCCAGCCTTGCCTTACGAACAACGCCTGCAAGCGTTCTTCGATCATGTATACCAGATCGCGCGCCAACACTGACACAAGATCAGATTTAATAAAGGCTTCTTCGAGTTACGAGTTGTCTCATTCCATTGTTATCGCAAAGCAGAGATGCAACCTCTCTAGAGTCCGCATACAAAGTCACCAACTTTTACCTATATTATGTTTAGATTCTAAAAATTTTTTGAAACAACATTTGAAACAAACAAAGTTTCTCTTTTGAAAGATTTTCAAAGTCCAAATAAATATATGAAATATAAACAAATGTATACCACATAGTACGACAAAATCTTGGACAAATGTGAAAAAAAAAGGAAAATAAAGTATGATCTATTGTCTCACTTACACGCGTTTGACTGCGCTTTGGTTAGAACAGTACCGATCTAGCGAAACAGTTTAAATTTTAGCATTTTTCTATGTAAATTATTATTCTATGGCTCAAGCCATCCTCATCTTGACGACCTGAATCTTTGCCATATTTGCTCTTTGTAATTTTGAAATCCTTATCATGCTCTATAGGGAGGGAATGAAAAGGAGTGTCTGCTGTCGGCTCACAACACAAATGGCAAATACGAATAAGTAGTCATCACGCAATTTGCTACAATTAGATTGGATTGACTGCACCAGACGGGCGCTACAATTCAAGTGGAAAATATTCCTTGCCCTCTCTTGATATAATGAATACAAAAACTATACTGCTACATTTATCAGATTTAAAAAAAAAAACCCCACCTCAAATCTGCAACATTGTGTATATAAGAGCATATACGCAATACAGATGAAAATGGAGATACAACAAATGATGCATTTTCGACCATTATACTGTGTGAGGACACACTGATTCCATCAAACAGCACGGTTCAGAGAGCATCCACAGTTGCTAGTGGCAGAAGCCGGTAAAATATTTTTGTTTTAAATGCGTAAGTATTTAAAAAGATACCCAAATTGTAACAAACAAACATTGAATGTTCTTTCTAAAAGGAACATCTAGAGCCTGGGTTCCGAACCTGGGGGTAAATCAGCCATACTTCGGGGGTAACAAAGAACCTAATTATTTGGTCAAATCTAAATAATAAGAAAATACTATATAATAATACTACTAAATAGAGCATGCGCTCCTTCTTGCTAGCGAGCCCGCGGGGTGCTGAGTGTGGGAAGCGGGGCGAGATTTTTTCCTGATGATGACATTATTGGAGACGAAGATGTAGCGGTCAAATTGGAATTTCTTGGACTGATGATAACATTTTAAAGTCGGGGTAAAATCTGTTTTCCTAATAGGTTACAGGGGTAGCAGTTTTGGAAAGGTTAGGAAACACTGATCTAGAGGGAGAAAACGAACCCAATTACTAAGTCTGTCTGTTATCGCTATATCAACAAATAAATTTAAAGAATCAATCCATGTATCCACACAAACGAGATACGATTTTATGCCGTCAACCTTTGTGTGCCCTGATTCGACATGTACTTACTTGGCCAGCTTTTCCTTATTTATTCTCTAAAGTTTTTAATAGCTGTTCTGTGGTTTAAAATAAATATTTGAAACCTTATTTATTTATTTAAGGGAAGTAATTTTTAATTTTATAATAAGTCGACCTACTGTCTAATGTTCACTTGTACTATCATTAATCACACACTGCTTTTCAATTTAACAATACACCAACCGTTTCTGTTAGCAGTCACCAACAGAAAGTGGATGCGTATAAAAGGTTTCCTTAATAATTATATTCTTAAATAAATAATTAACTATATTCAGGTATATTAAAAATATGTTCAAGTACTTGACGGCGCTGATGTCTTTAGTAAATTTGGCACAGCAAGAAGTGGTGACTACAGCCCAGGGGAAAATACGAGGCGTGGTTCAACAAGGATTTACATCCTTTATGGGGATACCATACGCTTCGGTCAACGAAGTTGATGGTCGGTATAAGGTAAATCTTAGACTGAAGAATCGTTTATTAAATAGGCCCAGATATTCCACTCTTTGATATACACCCGATGTTCAATGTCAATGGAATCCAGTACTAAATGTCATAGATATGTGCCGCACAAGTAAATGGTGGATGACCTTTGACTGCCCTGCTCCCGTAGCATGAGCACCACAATTTACATTGTAACAGGTTTTTTATCGCATCTAACTGTCAAATTTCATAGTAATTTGACAATTGAGCGTGATAAAAACGCGTCATACATATATCATATCGCGGTGCTCATGAGGGGCTGCATAGTTATTTGGCTGCAATGTTTTACAGGGTACATTTATTCTAATGAGTGTTCCGAATTAAAACCCAAGCATAAAAACCCAAAATTTTATTAAATATTTTTTAAAGTTTACAAGGTATTAATATTTCAGCAAGCTGGCTTAGCACCAAGTTGGTCTGGTATTAGAGAGTCTCAACAGTGCCGATGTTCCGAAACTTCGCGCATCGAAGAGTGTCTCCAACTGGAAGTGCATGTCCCGGACAGCGGAGCATCGCCGCCGTGGCCCGTCCTCGTGTGGATCAGGGGAGGCAGTGGACGCTACGACCCGGGTCAGGTAGTGCGGCGAGAGGTAGTCGCAGTCATTGTCAGTCACAGGTAAAAGTACCAACAAACCTCGTGGGAGAATAGGTTTCTTCCAAATTAAGAAAAACTTACTCATAGAAGAATATAGATTTTATCTGTTCTGATTCGTACTTCCTACATTAACAAATCTCTTTGGTATATAAGTACCTATATTTACAGATTTGTATAATTGAACCAATTATCGAAAACTGAAAATTTTCTTGAAATGAAATACAAAATAGTAATGTTTCGGGACATGTGTTACAAATTAATAGCGATAATTTCATAAAAACTAGCTGACCCAGCGAACTTCGTGTCGCCATAAAAATAGGAGCTGGTAGTAGAAATTTAGTGGTGTATGTAGTTTTTAATTCCACATTATACAAAAATAAAAAAAGAGAATTTTATATATAAGACTAGCGGCCCGCCCTCGCTTCGCTTCGGTGTAGAGCTGAAGTGTAGACTACATTTTTTGTTCTCAGGTTTGTATTATACACAATGACATTCATCTATGATTCTTCTTATACCTGCATGCAAAGTCTCAGCCCGATCGGTTTAAAATTGACAAAGTTTCATACAAACTTTCATTCCCTATTTTATCCCCTTGGGGGAAGAATTGATCAAAATCCTTTCTTAGCGTATGCCTACGTCATAACATCTACCTGCATGCCAAATTTCAGCCCGATCCGTCTAGTGGTTTGGGCTGTGCGTTGATAGATCACTATGTCAGTCAGTCACCTTTGAGTTTTATATATATAGATATTAATAAAACTATGTTTATAAAGTCAAATATTAAACAATTCGTCTAGCTACTTTTATATTTTGAACAATGTTGTTTTGTTCTAGATTAGGGACGACAGGATTTTTATGCCTTGGTGAAGAACGTATACCAGGAAACGCGGGCGTAAAAGATGTCATAGTCGCACTGCGTTGGGTCAGAGATAACATCAGCGCCTTCAAAGGCAACCCTCACACTGTGGTGATCGCTGGACAGAGCTTCGGCGCAGCAATGGTAGAGGCTTTGGTTCTCTCACCCATGTCGCAAGGGCTGTTTCATGGAGCAATTATACAAAGCGGAAGTATTTTGAGTCCTTGGGCGTTCAACTACGACGCCAAAGAACGTGCGACTGTTCTGGAAATCACAGATAGTGGAGAACACATTGACATAATGTCAGCCAATCTCGACACACTAGCGCACAGCTCAAACAAGATCGAGTATCCATATTTCCCTTTCGCGATGTGCGCTGAAAATCCATTTAGACGTCAAGAGATGTTATTATCAGATCCGCCTCACAGACTTTTATCTGATAGTGCTTTAAGAAAAGTTCCCTTAATTATAGGATACAACAGCTACGAAGGTTATGTGTTCGTTTCGAATTTGAAGAAAAATAATATCCCAACAAAAGTTAGGCGCGATTTATCTGTACTGTTGCCTGAAGAGCTCAAGTTTTCAGAGGACATTGAAATTAAGGGAGTTGTTGAACAAATACTTAATTTTTATTTCAGGAACAATAACTATACAATGGCAACGTTAATTTTATATCACAGGTAAGATTTTATTTGCATTTATAAATATTAGATTGTTGCATCGAGCGCAAAGTGAGTTATTAATGCATGAGTGTTATGTGAGCGCATTAACACGATTGCATTTTTAATTACTCACTTTAGCGAGGTGCGTAATCCACTTTTCTTTCAACTGCGAAATATAGGTACCTAACCTACTAAAAATAAAAAAGTTTATTTCATCTTCTCCTCAAAGCTTCAAACATTTAAAACTAACAAATTATTAACTGTGCAGCAATTCTTGAGTGAAATTCGCACTTCGAATTGGGACATTTACTTGAGTTTTATTCAGCCATTCGAAAACAGCTAGGAGTGGACGATGTAAATCGTATATAGATGATTGAAACGTATATCGCATCAATATCGTCAAATCAGATATCAATGCGTTCTAAACCGATATCAAAATATATAGTTTCAGAATCCGATATCAAATATATAGTGTCCGATATATAGTTTAGATTTGATTCAGAGAATAAGCAATATTACCCATTTCTAAAAATAGCCTTCAAAATAATATAAAACTGTCAAAAGTGTGAAACACCACCATATTATAGGAAAATTATACTTGGATATTACAGTATAAGAATGGTACAGCAAACCATAGAAGTACCAAATAAGCTTGAAAGTTATAAAATATGTTTGAGTGATTCACTTCACGTGGTTCAGATAAAATATTTATGGTTTGCGAACTGCAGCTTTGTCAAGTGTAATTTTATAATGTATCTATATGAAACAATAAACTAATAATAATAATAATTTGTATATGGAGGTAGTAACTTTGAATATAGAAATCACAACATCGCCGATTAGAAAATAACAATAATATCTAGTAGCGCCATCTACTATTTACAAGAAGAACTAACTGTTACAAAGTGTCTTATCGAGTTGACCAGTGACCAGCCAGTACCTTTATGATCGTATCGTGGGAGTCATGCCTCCATGATGAATTAATATCTAAATAAAAAAGAAAAGGCAGTGCATTAATGGAAAACAGTGCAAAATGAGATTTCATACAACATTTCTGCAAGTTCTAAGCAAAAAAATACGTTCATTGTGACTACTTTTGTTGTGATAAATGATAACATTACTGCGTAGTAGAAAGAAAAATATATTTGCTTTACGTTATGAATTGGCATGTAAATGTTTTGCGTAAACTCCACGTTGGGCGCCAACTATCATAATTAAAATTAAACGTGTATCTTAATTTTCAGTGATGCATACTTCGCAAGTCACGTCTATAGAAGCTTACGTTTACATGCTGCGTCGGATCTACCCATCTACTTCTACCAGTTCTCGCACTCAGCGGAACTCGGAGTGAGCTCAGTTCACGGGGAGAAGAAGCAAGGGGCGGCACATTCTGACGAACTGGCCTATTTGTTTCCGGAAAAAACCAATCGTTTCGATAGTGATAATTCAATAGTCCAAAGCAATTTGATTCTACTGTGGACGAACTTCGTGAAACATTTGTTAGTGATATTTCTTTTGTTTGTTGAAACAATAACGGTACATAAACAAAGAAGAGTTATACGAATAGTCGTTAAATATTATAGTAATATAAGTTATTTACGGGATTGTTACCATGTACGATTCGATACCCGTACCACTGTTCGTATCGAACGCAATAAAAGACTTCGTCGGAGGGTAGACCGATATGTTTGCCAATAGCAGCCTACCCGCAATAACTTCAGTTACTCCGTGATCATGGCGCTTGCAACAGTGCCGAAATATCGGAAACTCGCTAAAAACAAGGTACATGGTAACAATCCCGTAAATAACTTATATTACTATAATGTTAGTGACCATGAAAGTTTAAAACAATATAAGTCGTTAAATAGTTGTTTGATTATTGATTATTTTCGCATGATTATGTCTTAAAGCAATAAATCTATTAATATTATCTTACCGGTTGCCTGTTTCAATCTTTAATTGAAAGACAATTTTATATTTTCTACACGCATTATAAAGATCGAAAAACTTTTGTTTCAGAGATCCAAACGGGATGGATAGATCGATTTCGTGGGAACGTTTTGAGTTACAAAATCCTCGACTCATGGACATTAGCTCTGAACTAATGATGAGAAATATACCACGGCTTGATGCAATGCAGATGTGGGACGATATTTATAATAGGTTCTTTTACTCGCGTAACACATTCACTAAGTGATAACTAAATGTTCACCGCATTCATAGATTCACCAATTTAAAAGTAAAGCAAAAGTTACCGTTTGACTGTTATTAAAAGTTATAAGAATAATTATAATTATAGTATTTCTGAACAATTCAGTTTTTTTTTATAATCTTAAGATTCTAAAGCTGTTATGTTTAAGCAAAAAAATAGAAGATACAATACCAGTTTAACAGGCACAGCAGAACTACACATTGCATGGCACGCGAAATCCGGGGCTCATGTGAGTTGTTACCTAAAAGAAAAGAAAAATACTACATCAATAACATACATCATCTACATAAAAAGTGACTGGCAATTGCTATATGGATATGATTTATTAAAAGCAACATCACAGAGATTGAAACAGCTCTCTATGCAGAGGAGGTCTGGAAGTAGATGAAACGGCCGCTCATGTGATCCTGGAATGCACGAGCGTTGCAGAACACCGGGCATCAATCCTCAGGAAGCCGAGGACGCTCCTAGAAGCCTTTGAGAGCCCCAGGAGGCTACTGCGCTTCTGGAAGGAGCTGGGCTGGCCGAGCTAACTAGCCCAACATACCCTACACGCACAATGGACCAAGTACGGAGTCTACGTGCGGAAACGGGGGCCCACAACAAATAACAAGTAGAATTGAAACATAAAGCGTTTTATGGAATATTTATTCCTTTTTATATATATTTTTAAAACTCATGTAGTTGTAGGTTGCCCTTAAAACAAATATAAAATCATCATTCATTATCCATTTCATGATGTGCCTAATGTATAGTCTCGTGTGGCCTAAAACCATCTTCGCATTATTTCCTATCGAATAACATATGTAACACATACTTTGAATGGTTTCACTATATAACGAACTTAAAATTCTTTTCTTAAGTAACTATTTTAGTGTTTTATAATAATAATATTTCCAACAGAGTGTAATTTTCATTTATCTTGGAAAATATAATTGGTATCGTGACCTAAAAATTACCTATATTCTGCTTTTGGTACGGAAAACATTGCGATGGCATAAGGTTTGCCAACTCCTTTCATTGACGCAACTCACACAAAGAGAGGCGCGGCGAACATACTGAGAAGTTAACAAATTAGGGTTACCCTATATCATAAGTATATATAAATTTTCATGACAAACATGAAACAAAATACAAGCGGCGCACTACACCCCTCGGCTCCGGGGCTCTTGGCAGTGCTCAGAGTCGAATATCTTCGCCGCGCTTCTCAGGAGAAGATTCATTTCATCCATCTCACCCTGTCTACGACAAATATGTCAAATAATGACAGGAGACCTTCGATTTTGCCTAATTTTGTACCTTGGATCTAAAATTATACTGAAAGGGATTAACTAATCAAAATCTCAATTTATTCAATAAAAACGCTGAAAATCTGATTAAAAAAAGGGAATCTGCGCATAATGGAACGTTATTAATCAGACGCACTTTGTCATTGACTGACAGATGACATCTAATACTATTGGTTTAAATTCATTTCATTGAATGTGATTGGTTGAGTGGTTAACCGCTTAATAATAATCATGTATATATGGTACACCCGTGTCAAACCATAGCGACACATACACGAACTAGGTTTAATTCGTATGTTGCCCATGGATGGATCAAGCTCTTTATCATTAAGCGTAAAAAAAATCTGACTTATTTCGATTGCAATTTGAGCTTTATGACATAAAAGATAAGGGCAGATAACGGATCAATATATCACTATTACAAAACAGCGAAAGGGGCAAGTTCAGAGTGCTGCGATAACGCAGTAAAGCTAACATTGTGAAGCTCTGTGATAGTTGATAGCGTATGGTATGATGAGCTTTAGGTAATGGCGAAGACAGCAGTGTACTTTACAAAAAAATACAAAAATCCTTTTGATCCTGAAAACCCTTTGATCACCCAACCGTTTCCAAGAAACTAGTGTTCTCGCAATGGTGCGATGATTCTTCACGTCGCTCACACAACACATGTGCTGCCTGTTCTAAGTCACTATATCAAGAACAAGGTCTTTGGAAACTTGGGACGGGAGTCAATTGGACCCTTGGCCAATGGAGAAATGTTCTCTTGTGATATGAGACGAGAGTGTGACTTTTCTGCAAAGATAGACGCAGAAGTGTACAGAAGACAGGGGAAGACAATAATAGGTGGTTAGTTTTAAGATCCTTTTTGTTTTTTTTTGTGTTAATAATCTGTTTTAAATTAAGGCTTAATTGAGGATTTTTATTGTTTTGTAAACTTTATTGTTTTTGCACTGTTCCAATGAAAAATAAAAATTAATTGAATTGTTTTTTAGGGTTCCGTACCTAAAAAGGAAAAAACGGAACCCTTATAGGATCACTTTGTTGTCCGTCTGTCCGTCCGTCCGTCCGTCTGTCAAGACCGTTTTTCTCAGGAACACGTAGAAGTATCAAACTGAAATTCATATATAATACTCAGGAGTACTGTCCCTTGGAGCTGCGAAAAAATCAAACTTCTAAGCCAAAGCAATCAAAAGATACAGCCGTTTATGTCGCAAATTTTCGAAACTCGCACGGGAATCAAAACCTACAGGGTACTTCCCGTGAACTTAGAATCTTGAAATTTGGTACGAAGTAACGTCTTATAGTACAGATAAAGGAAAAGTTGCGTAAACCGTAAATTCTTAGTTACATCCTATAATATTTTTTTTTTAATAATTATTAAAATATACCTAGAGGTTTGTACGGAACCCTCGGTGCGAGAGTCCGACTCGCACTTGGCCGGTTTTTTTTTAAGTTTATTTAATGGGCTTTCAAATTACACCAATACTGGTGCGGGTCAATGCGTTTGTTAAGAGTTATAATAACGCTTGAAAGTAATTTTCGCCAAGGAGCGATTTTTTGACGCCGAGTGTATATAAATAATAATAGATAAATAAAACAAGGAAAAATGGGCGCGATATCTTCTTTTACATATTGTTATAAACATTTCCCACTGCGCATTCAGCATTGTATAAAAAAAAATATTTATTTTATTTATTTATTTTATTATCAAATACAATTTACATACAACAAAATTATACACATACAATTAAAAAAACCATACACGAAAACCTGTTAAGGTTTATAAATTAAATTGGATAATACTTCGTATACTGTCTTGACGATTTTGGCATTCTACACTTTGCCCTAGGTATTTGAATTATAACCCGAATTATACTGATTGCCGATGACATCAACATATCATGCCCTTTCACGAGATGTCCCATTGTTTTCACACTTTAGATTTTATCGTGTTATGTGATTCATAAATACTGTGTTTATTGAAGATGCGTTTTGTCCGCGAATGTCCTTTATCAAAGATCGATCGAATTTCGGTGTTGAAACGCGATATGGATTCGATATGGATGCAGATTAGTACCGTGTCAGCGAACAGCAGCATCGTCGGCCGGTCGTCTGAGCTCAGGTAAGTGACGCTGACGAACGCACTTCTATGGTGGTTAAGAGCCTTTTCACATTTTTTTCCAAAAAAAATTAATTTTTGAGCGCCTCGTTTACCCCCTTAGAAAAGATTTTGACTATTTCCAATAAAAGTAAACAGTAGATTTATTCTTCCTATTGTAAACTTAATGAAGAATATTTTCAAATACTATTTTCCTTTTTTTGTACTGATCGTTCTACTGCAGATAGTTTACGGAAAAAACGATAATATGCACAACTTCAAACGCCTCAATCTCTCAATAATGTTCAATAAATTAGATCAAATTAATTACTACGACATCAGAAATATGTTTTTGTTGTAACATAATGTATTAGAATTTTGATTTTCCATGTCATTAATTATCAAAAGAAACATCTAACCTCCGTGAGTTTTCCCAAAAAATAATGCAGGTTTACCTCGTATTTTGATATTGAATTAAATAGAATTACTATCAAAAACTTTCATAAAACTAATCTACCATCATTGAACTACTTAAATATGTATATATTTTTATAATAAGTTCATTAATAATCATGTCATAAGACTCGAAACATCACCCGTAAAATGCAATATATACTAGTGCAAATCTAACTACGCGCCGATCAGCAATTTTGTAAGAGGGCTCTTATACAATGAAAATTTTGAAGGGAAATATTTCAAGGAGCTTACTTCCAAATGTACGAAATATAAATAGACCAGGGTAGATAATTTTTGAGAAGATAAAATTTCGGAACAGTATGTATGAAACCCATGACAAAAGGAAGAGAAAACTTAAAATTTTGAGGTCGGGAAGGGCTTTCAGGAGTAAGTTTTATGGAGGGAAAATAATCTATGGTAAAATTATAGATAATCAAAAAATCTACAACTCTCTTTTGTTTTTGCACTTTTCAGTTTTTATCTACCCCCATAAGCTAAAATTTCTGCGAAAAATCAAAATAACCCACTTTTATTTAAAAGCTTTATTTTAATTTAATTCGAAGACTTTTCATTGCTTTGCACCGAGATGCGTAAATGTAAAAGTAAAGAGTTGTTTTATTATTTAATAGGTTTACCAGCAATTGTTACAAATAATACATTGTAAATATTACAGCGATAGTACTATAGCTAAAAGCAAAAATTATTTAAGGTAAACACCACATGCAAAGTTAATAATTACCAGTAACATTAAAATAAGACATTTACAAAATTCTGCCAATATCTAAAACTACATAATATCAACATACTACAACGTGGTCAATTGCAAGTGCTGACGAAATGCATTGAGACTAACAGCATAAATATCAATAGACTGATCCAAAGAATTTAGAAGTCTACTTACGAAGATAGAGAACCCGAGTTTCTTTATTGGGCTATTTATACATATATAATATATACAATATTAAAAACCACTGCGGCGGTCGAAAATCTATTCGGTAGCGTCGTGTGAGTCGTTCCCTAAAAAATGGTTAAGCGAAGCGATGTTTGGTTCATGCGTCATGCTCGTGAACGGGTATTGCCAGCGGAGATGAGTCTGCTCTTGCTACATTGGGTACTATTAATCATTGTATTAAACTTTAATCGTAATGCCTCAACAGTACCTAGGACACGGCTTTCCTAAACTTTGTTAAATCAGTTTTTTAACTGTTCGACATTTACAAGAGCTTGTAACAGCCTAGACTAAATAAACGATATTGAATTTGAATTTTATTAATTATCAGTTTTAAATATTAAACCTTATTTATACTAAGAGTAAAATAATCATGCACGCCGTGTTTGTCTAAAAAGTTGTACAATAAGTTTTTGTATGGAATATTTATAGTATGTAAGATAAATTGTAATGAATGTTGACGGACCATTAAAAAAAAGTATGTGAAAATCTAAAGTAAGCCTTCATGTTCATAAGATAGAGCCCTTGTCCGCCGTGTGACAGACAGACAGCGGAGGAATATTAATTGTGTTCTGTTCGTCACCCTTTGGGTACGGGACCCGAAATTTCCTGATCTCATTTCGTTAAATGCGCGAGAGTGATTATTATTATTTGAGCGAGCAGAGAAGATGATCGCGACGTTGACCACGCTGACTTTGGTTTTTTGAAAATCCCACAGGAACTTGACGTTTTTCCGCCTTAAAAAGTATCCTATGTCTCAATCCAGGTCATAAAATACATACACTTATTTTCATCGAAACCCGTTCAGTACTTTTTGCGTGATTGACTAACACACATACAAACTTTCATATTTATAATATTAGTAGGAGTTAGGATTTTTTTTATAATAACACACACCAATTAGCCTCGTCCCAAAGTAAGCACTATAAGGCTTGTGTTATGGGAAACTAGGGTAACGGAAAGAATACATGTACTGTACATATATATTTATATAGAAATACCACCGGGATTCGAACCCGGGACCTCTCGAGTCGGCGACACCATGAAACCCGGCGTACAAGCCACTCGACCGCGGAGGTCGTCAATTTATTATTACCATGAACTGATTCTAGGTTAAAGATTACTTTCTCCTAGGTAAATGGGAAACTGCTTGGAATGGCAATCCTCTCAATGGGATATTGACGTATCCTCAGGAAATTATCTTCAGATCCTGCTAGTTTATGATGTTATACCGGACGAAAATGCGATTGCCATTGGTAAACTGTGCAGTCAAGCAAAGAATTGAAATTACCATTACCTTTAATAAAAAAAAACTATGAGTTCCGGGTTAGCCTAGTCTATAAAATAGGTACATTCATATTTATTTTATAGTATCTTCATCATCATCACCATCAACCCATGCTCCTCCACCGCTGGATATAGGTCTAGGTCTTATATTATCTTTTATTTAAATATAAATAAATATCTGTCCTATTAATTAGCTAGTCAGCGAGGTATTGCTGCCAGTGTTCTGGGTACCATGCCCCAAATTGGAATTCTGGATGACATATTCTTGATTTTATTAATTTTTTAAGCATTTAACTGCTAGATGTTTAAATCTAAAGAAAAGTTTACTAGAAAAAAATCCACGCGGACCAGGCAGCAACGGTATTAATTAAAAATTTCGACGCGGCTAATAGGGCCGTGGTTGCATAATGGTCAGTGCATTCGCCCGGATTGCGAAGGATGCGGGTTCGAGTCCCGTCCGCTGCCTGGTCCGCGTGGATTTTTTTCTAGTAAACTTTTCTTTAGATTTGACATATGCTTCTTATGAATATGTATATAAATTATTTTAGGGTTAATCTTTAATGATAAGTATTTAGTTTGATATTGTTGTGACGTAATTATAGTTGTTTGTAAATAAATTCCATTTAATATCTGTCCGAGTTTTCTAACATTATTGATAAAACGTTCTATCAAATATACGATATACCTACTACAGTCACAGCATAAGTAATCATTGGTACTGAGGCTAATGTCTGTGACGAATACCAGCATACTCACTACTCACAATTTTTTTTTGGAAACGAATTGAAAATAGGAGTCATTGTTACCCAAGTGGCAATTGCCGATCGGCCAGTGTGATTTCGTTGTACCTCTGTATGAAATATAATATTCTAACTCTTTAGAATGGCTATATGATTCATAAAAAATATTTTTTTTATGTTCCAGAAATGTTAAGAAAATCTTGACCAAAGCAATGAGGTGGAAAATTTTGTGGTTTATAACCACCTTGGTTGCGATAACTTACATAGACGGACTGACTGTAAATAAGTCAAATAATTTAAAACCAAATATAGAGAGACCACTCACACTGAACCATAGCACTGTTTCTGATAGTTGCAAAAAGAACGCAGAAATATCATCACAAAATAATGTCACAAAAGAAGTTGAACCAGTCGTAAAACTAATTGATGTGGAGCATGATTTGACCCATGGTCGGAGGCAACGAGCAACAGCAAACGAAGAAGCGTTTGGGCAAATAAATGCATCAGGTTCAAATAGTGAAGAAACCATGGACCCACCTCCCATTCTAGTAGAAACAGATCTTGGCGTTGTACAAGGACACATTTGGCAACATTCAGATAAAATCATAAGTTACTTTGATATACCTTACGGAAAATTTTCTTTATTTGAGGTATGACTTGGTTGTTCCTAGAACTTTTTGCGAAATTACGACTTCCCTATTATTCACGGTTATTAATAAATAAATAATTTTCAGGCACCGGAGAAAGCTAGTAACTGGACAGATATTCATTCTGTTACTGAACACAAAAAGCGATGCCCACAAATCAAAGATAGCACATTCATTGGAAGTCCAGACTGTTTAACACTCAGTGTATTTACACCGAGAACAGCTGAATATGCTGGCGTATTATTTTATATTCATGATAGTAGTTCAAACACGGGCAGCGGAGATCCTTATAAATACGGGCCAGAGTTTCTGGTAAATAACGGCATAATTTTAGTTTTACCAAATTATCGGCTAGGAGCTCTGGGATTTTTGTGTTTGCAAAATACTATAGCGCCAGGGAACGCTGCAATAAGAGACTTGGCTCTGGCTTTAGAATGGACAAAGGATAATATAAAATCATTTGGTGGAAATCCTTTGAACATAGTTGTAAGTGGTGATAGTAGATCAGGAGTCTTGGCAGGACATTTAGCATTATCTTCGGAATCTAAAGCATACATCAGAAAAGTTATAACGGAGAGCGGCTCAGTGCTCGCTCACTGGGCCATAGATAGGAATCCAGTTAGCACCGCAACCCAATTAGTCACGTATATGAAAGGAGCGGCTGAAAACAACTTAGATGATGCGTTTAATAAAGTAGATATAGAACATTTGATAAAAACTACACATAATTTCCCTTTCAAACCATGCATTGAAGAAAATAGTGACGGCATTATACGAAAAAGTCCTTGGAATACATTAAAAGAAGATTCATTAAATATAACATTTATGATAGGATCTGCTGATAATGCTGCACTCCCAGAAGCATTACAATATGACAGTATGACACTGTCAGATTTAAATGAAAACTTTGAGGATTCGTTACCGAATGATTTAAATTTTCCCAACGCTGGTATTAAGGGTGCGGTAGGTCAAAGAATTAGAGAACAATACTTTGGAAATTATAACATAACATCAGATTTGAGAAAAAACTTGTCCCTATACTATACTGACGTCTCTTACCTCAGTGCTGATGTGCGCTTAGCGAGAGCACTAGTGGAAGCAGGAGTCAAGGTCTTTCTTTACGAGTTCTCTTTTATTGGAAAATTTAACGATGCACTACAATCTTTAGACAGCGCGTCAAGATATGGTGCGACAAGAGGTGATGCCGCAGGTTACATATTTTCATTAAACGGACGTACTCCTGAAGAAAATTCGGAAGAGGAAAAAGTTATTGAGATTATGACTAATCTATGGATCAGCTTTATTAAGAATGGGTCAGTCAATAACTATATTAGTTATTATTTTATGCAATTTAACAAAGTTAAAAAGAGAACAAAACTCTTGTTTAATTGTTCGAAAAAAAATCAAAGGGGAATAACCATTTACAAGCAAATAGGTCTATCTAACGATTAGTTACTGTAATAACTCTTTGGGTTTCGGAGAAACACTAAAGCAAAACAACTGTCTAATATGGCAATTATTATGCAGCTGTTTTTGTGGTGATATATATAGCTATCTTCCTCATGCTATGCATCTTTATGAAACTATGACACCATTCATTTATTTTGGTTGCATGGAATACCAACAGCCTATTAATGTCCTTACTGCAGGGGCACACGCCTATGAAAGGAATAAGAAAACTGGGCCATGATCCTAACTACTACTAACGGACTAACGTCTGCAGATGCAGCCGAGACCAACGGCTTTACGTGCCTTCCGAAGCACGGAGGAGTTCGAGATAGTAAGTTTTTGGTCACCCATCCAATGACTGACCACTGCGAAAGTTACTTTACTTCAAAGATCGCAGCTGAACGCTCTATCCATCGAATCCTCAAAAATATTAATAGGAACAAAAAGTCAATTAAGTACAGGTCTTCACGCGTAAGTTCTCTGTATAACTTAAAATGGTTTCACAAACTCTGTCCCATTTTCTAGTGAGCCGACTTTGGATGGAGTCACATGGCATCAGTTTAACTCGTCAAAAGAGACACTGGAACCCTGGTTATCAATCAGCGACAAAGCCTCATCCGAAACAGGATTTCATTACGATCGTTTGGGTCTCTGGACCGAGGTGTATCGCGACTACTTCATTGATCACAGCGGCACCATCAATACAAAGGCTTTCGGATACATCTACTACGCAACTGCATTAATCTTTATCAATGTTTCTAAAAACATCTTTTAATAATTCTATACTGTCTATCTATCTATACTTTGTTTGTCTGTATATTCTTTCTAAATAAGATGTTATATTTATGTGAATTTGGATCACTGAATTGCGCAAGTATTTTGAATAAAAAGCCATTCTTTGTCAACAATATCAATATCTAAAGAAATTCTTAATTACGACTTCATCTATTTGTCCCTTACTAAATGTTTACCTACGCTTTGATAATTTTCTTTGAATCTTGAATTTTGCATTTGGATTATTAAATATTATATCACTTTTAACTTTATGTATGAAAAGAAAAGCCATGTACTTAGTTTTATTATTTAGTGAATACTTTATTGTTGTAAGCAAATATATGTTATGTTCCAGCAGTGAGTGTGACTCATAATTCGATACTACAAATCCGTCAGTTTACATTAGAACAAATAGTTGTTTAATAATATTGCATAAACGGAATCACAACACATTTAGTTTTCCAGTAAAGATGTGTTCACTTTATCAGATATCTGTTTAAAACAATTATTTATTTATAATTTTTATTTTTTGAGCATGTAACTGATTGATCTTTAAATCTAAATAAAATGTAACTAGAAAAAGAAACACGCGGACTAGGACAGCAGACGGGGCTCGAACCCGCACCCTTCGCTATCCGGGCAAATGCACTGACCAATTATGCTAACGCGACCCTGATGGCCGCGTCGAAATTCTTCTAGCCATGCTTAAACTGCAAGGCAGCGCCATCTCTTCGCATTGTAGGTAACCCACAATGTCAAATGAATACTTTTACAAGTATTAAACATTTGAAAGAAGAAATAGCAATTATAGTTATATTTTTTTATTTTTTGAGCATGACTAGAAAAAAATTCACGCGAACCAGGCAGCACATGGGACTCGAACCCGCACCCTTCGCTATCCGGGCGAATGCACTGAAATTGACAATTTTTTTTTCTAGCTCTATTTTCTTTAGATTTAATTATTTATTTACTAAACATTTCAAAACCAAATTATAAAACTATATAAAAAAAGGAACTCTAACAACTTCGTTAATTATTATAAGGACACTACTCAACAACTGGTACAGGAGCACTATTTTTGAATCACTCGTCTTGCGTCGAACGCTCGATTTCTACTAAATTCCAATCGACATAATTAATTCCGTATTTTTGAATCGCTCGAGTGCAACGAATGGGTGAGACCACTCGCTGCATGTCGAATGGTGAAGGCGAATGATAGAATAATTGTCAATTTTATTGCGCTTTTAGACGACGATGATCTATTATTGTCATGCTTTATATGAAACGACAACGAGAATTTTTTGTTCGGTTTCCATTGCGGTAATTAAAGGTTTTTATTATTTCTGCGTGAAATGAGTAAAATTTTACATTTCCTATTAAACAGGTAACACCGGTGACGAATGATTCAAAAATACGGAAAATCAGTATAATAAGGTGACTTATGTCGCATTCGACGACACTATGTCAGACGAGTGATTCAAAAATAGAGCTCCTGATCTTTCACATCATAAAAACGTTGTATCAGATTATGACCTTTAACACGTCAATGTGTACTTTCATTGAAGAAAAGACATATATGTATGCTTACTATATGACTCCAATAGTCTCAATCATTATTTTTAAACACTTCTAAGTCTTTTTATGTTATAACAATGGTAAGGCGGGCCCTAGGCTTATGACCCCCCCTGATGGCGTCCTCACAGGTAACAAAAATATACAAAAGTAATTCTCCAATTTCAACTCAGTTGATGTGATCAAAGCATGCCTTTACAATTAACTGTACTAGAAAATACACTGTGGTCGCTCTACGCGTTGTTTACCTTCGATTTGCACGTCTGACACCTGTACCACCACACCGAAGACGAGACAATCCGACGACGGCAGTCTTAATGTTACACAACTCTTCAAAGCTCACAATGCGAACTACGTAAGTTAAACTCTAATCATCCCTCTTTTACAGTCTAAAAGGTTTCAGTCACCGCGACTTAGTAATACAAAACAAATTTATATATTTGTTTCTTAGGTTTTCACGCACATCACTCATTAAATAAAACTAGTTTTTTTTACGGGTTAATGCACGAAACTTTATTTATTTATTGACGGTTATTTCATTGTTCGATTTTTAAAATTTTTATTGTCTATGTATGAATTTATTACTTAATTTAGTTAATAAAGTACTTTATTTAAAATTCTTTTTGTAATTTTGAGTTTATTTATTTGACCCAAACTACCGTAAACTACCTACTAAAAATTTTAAAAATCGAACAATGAAATAACCGAACTCTCAATAAAATGTCTTTCGAAGGTAGCTCGACAAAATTAAATAAAATTTGATTCTGACGACGTAGCCTGTAAAGGCTACGAAACGTCAATAAATAAATAAAGTTTCGTGCATTAACCCGTAAAAAACTAGTTTTATCAAATTTATATAGACGACTTTATGTGTTACAGGAATGCGTTTGGTAAGCTCGGATGGCTAGTGTTGTCTGTGGAAACGATGTTATTCGCGGTAGTGGTTGCGCCTAAGGCGCAGCGTGACGTGAGGACGAGTTCCGGCGTGGTACGCGGGTACCTCACCCCCCGAGGTTACTACGCGTACCTCGGCATGCCCTACGCCCGCCCAACGCGCCGCAATAGGTTTAAGGTCACATATCCATTTGCTGATGGCATTTTGTCGATCGCTATCTCACATGTTGACTGTTAATGCGATCGATTTGTTACATATTTATGTATATGATGTTGTTTTAACGACCCTGCTGAATTCAAGTTGGATTCCTTAAATTGTGTGGAGAACTACGGTTTTGGGAAAGTCCTACTCTTTATATTTATATATGTATATTTTCATTAAGTAATAATAATAATAATAATAATAATAATAATTTATTCCCAAATTTTTTATACAATATGGTTTTACAAATACAGGCACAGGATATTTTAAAACTAAGGATCTGTGGGTACTTAAAATAGGAAAACCCTGTGACTTAAGTACCCACTCTCTTCCAGTGACACAATAAAGTAAATTTACAAGATACCACATTGATTAGAAAATATGATTTTAAATGAAAAACGAAAATTTAAGTTACATTAACAAACAAAAAAAAAAAAACTTTTTTAACAAGAATTAGAACCAATTTAGTTTTATTTTGTAAATAATTTTCATGCAAGACGAGTAAGGAATCAAGTCATGTGTAGTAACATCTTCTCAGTTTCTTCATAAGTCAGTGCAAGAAGAAATTGAGTGAGTATGCGTTTTAGATTACAATAATTTAGTGAATATATATTCAACCTCCGGTTTACATTATTATAAATAAAAGGACCTAGAAAAAGTAGAAATCGTTTGCTAAAAGATTTATTAAATAGTTTACTCTTGAAAATCAATTTGTTGCGACGAACCTCTCCTTTATAAGGATCTAAAGGTAGTTTGGAATGTTGGTGTATTAATGTATATAAGATGAATAATTTACGTACTGATAAAACTTCGCAGAATGAGTATAAGGCATCGGTAGGAAACAGAAACGGCTTGAATGTAGCTACTTTTAGAACTGCGCGTTGGGCACGCTCCAGTGGGAGTATAGTTGTCTTAGGAACGCCACCCCAGGATGTAATGCAATACAGAATCAAGGATTGACAAAGAGAGAAGTAAATGGATTTGAGGAGTGATGAATCAGTTACTGTCCTAAGTGACTTGAAAATATAGATCAGTTTGCGAATTCTTGCAGCAAGGACATTGATATGGAGTTTAAAAGATAAATTGCTGTCCAGCAAAACTCCAAGATATTTAATTTCATTAACTCGCTCGATGGACGAACAACAGCAAGAGTTTGTACCCCAACAGGTATGTGCAGTAATTGATAGAGATTCCTCACTTGGCAGATCAACCGTTCTTATAGAGTGAATGATATATTTGGTCTTCTGAACATTAAGTGTGAGACGGTTATTGTTTAGCCATTCGCAAACCATATCAAATCCAGATTGTGCATTTAGAAAGACATCACGCCAAGAATCACTAGAAAAGAAGAGAACAGTGTCATCCGCAAAGGAAAGAAGAGAGCAATTTGGAATATTAAGGGTGCAAAGATCATTCGCATAAATTAAAAACAGTGTAGGACCAAGAATGCTTCCTTGCGGTACTCCGTATTCAATTTGGAACTCACAACTTTTCTGTCCTTCAATCACGACCGCCTGTTTACGATTTGATAAATAATCTTGAAAAAGGCTAAGTTGATTACCACGTATACCAAGTATACGGGGTGATGACGGGGTACAGTAAACGAAATTCTATTTAGTCCGTCAGTTAGATGATCAAAAAATAATGGACGCGTATTTTTTCTTTGGGCAATCAACCAAAAAATTACAAAGTTATAGCGCGTCAAAGTTTGGGAGTAGGGGCTCGTGACGTCACTTTTTAGTGAATATTCGCTTAAAAGTGTACTCAAACGTGACGTCATGCGACTTTTCAAATCAATATATCTCTGCAATGTTTATATTATGTGAAAAAAGAAAAAATACGTGTCCAATACTTTTTGATAATCTACCTGATAAACGAAGAAAAAAAAATAGTCATCATCCCTATTCCCGCAGTAGCTTCAGACAGATATTGATGGTATGAAAAATACGTTTTAAATTAGTCTACAAGTTTAAGTAGCCCTATGCGTCGATAAACTTGTGCTATCAACAGAGGCGGCGTAAGGCGTGGGCGACGTGGGCCTCGCGCCTCAAAAATTTGTATGCGCAATGCATAAAGGCGTTTTTTTTATTATATTTTATAAAATCCGTCTTCAGGTCGCCACAGAACTGGGCCTCCCGAAATCTGTCTTGCCCACATCAAATTTTGGTCTTGCCCCGCCACTGGCTATCAACATAGGGAAGTAGACAGCTAGCATGTATGGAGCAGTAGGGTGGCAATCAGTCTCAGACAGACACCAAATTTTTATGATATGTAGTGCGCCGTTAATTGTAAATCGTTTGCCAAAAAAGTAGAATTTATTTTATCCCTGTTTTTAAAAAAATATTATAATATAAAAATTAATGTTTATTTATCTATTTTTTGCTGCCAAAGCATGACTCTGTCCATCATTCATTACATTTTTTGTAGTACTTAATTTCAACAAGAATTATGTAATCATAATTGGTATAATACAAGTTCACCACGTATACACGAATATCATGCATGACTGGACTGATTGACATTTGCCATAGCGATTAAGTCGTCGATATAAGCTGCCACACCCTAAAAATATGATGTTACTCTTACGACAGAGTGGCCAGCATCCTTAAAAAAAATTATCAATTTTTATACACGAATTAAAACTAATCGGAGAGATAAATAAAAAATTTAAAGCGCCTGTTCGTGTTATAATAAAAAAAAAGTTTCAAATAATATTTACTTTTATATGTATGTTTCGTCGGTGCCGAAAACCTACCACTTTTGAATCATCCCCTTTGGACCTAATTCTTTTCCATGTCGTTCCGAATCGTATCGCATATAGGGTTACCATTTAGGAATTTCAAAAGTCCTGACAAAATCCTGACATTTCGTATAAAGTCCGGACTTTTTAGTCACATAATGGTACCATTACTCACTTAGTTACAACTAGTGGCCCGCCCTCGCTTCGCTTCGGGGTAGAATTGATCAAAATCCTTTCTTAGCGGATGCTTACGTCATAACATCTACCTGCATGCCGAATTTCAGCCCGAACCGTGTAGAGGTTTTGGCTGTGCGTTGATAGATCACTATGTCAGTCAGTCTGTCACCTTTGAGTTTCATATATACAGATAGATAGATGGTATGGTTTTTAAATCAATATGTACTTTTACTATTCATATTCAATGTTATTTTAAAAATCGCCGAATTATAATCAAAAAGTCCAGACTAATCCGGGCGGATGGTAACCCTAATCGCATAGCAGTACACAGGCCAACCCAACTTGGATTAGAAAACTATAGAAATGGAGATAGAGGCTAACTAATTAACGCGGATTGCTGCGTAAGGCTGAGCGCAGATTAGTGTCCCGTAGTGTTGGGTAGGACACGACTTGAAAAAGAGTTTGTAAGAGTAGCCTCTTTTTTGTACTAAACCAGTACAATGTCCCACTTCAAATGAGGCGAGGCGTACTGAAGCTCGGCAATACATTTGAAGTGACGAGTACAAATATGACATTGAGGCGTACAGAAGCTCGACATTACGTTTGTGTGCACGAGTAGCACCTCCTCTACGCACTATCAATCTTGCTGGATCCAGCATGCAGGACAGCGCTATACACGTAAAACAGATAGAGATACAGATGGATAGTGCGTAGAGGACTTAAATGAAATGTCATGCCTCGCTCTCTCTCAGACTTACGAAGAGTGAGTGAGTAACGAGACGCGACTATCGCGACATTTAATGTGAAGTAGTACATTTTAAAATTTTGAGCCGCTCTTACAATTTGGCGTCATGTCCGGGACAAATGTACCGCCTCTTGTAAGTCCTACTCAACACTAGTGTCCCGACAGTCTCAAGATAGACTATTGCTTAACAAAAATTATGAAGATGCGCACATTTCAAACGAGACGTCTCTTAGACAATAACGTCTTATGTGCACAAGAACTGCAAAGTGACAAATCAGACTAACGACTGTCCGCTTCCCTTTGTGATGTATGCGAGGGCGCACATCAACGACAAAATTGTCTAGCGACTAGGGATGATAATCTATACCGAAAGAAAGTATACAATATATACGATAAAATAAGTAATATGTGGGTCCATAAATTGTAACAAATTATCAAAGGTAGACACAATTATTCGAAATTACTGGAAAAACTTTCGGGGGTGGTGCCTTAATTTACTATATAACAAAAATAATCGGTGATATCTTTTTCTGATACTGATGAAATGGTGTCTGTCGCATCGTAGACAAAATAGATTCGTCTTGGTGTGCGCCACGTGGTAGACACAACTGTTTATTTTAAATTTCAAACTGTCTTGTCTATGTGAGACAAGATAGTCTTAAGCCGCGTATCCACTAGAGGCAGCCTCGCGTCGAGCGGCCTCGACTTGAAGCAAATAGCCTCAGTTTGAGACTGCTCGCTCTGAGGCAACGGCTACGGATCAGCTCGAGGCGTGTCGCCTCAGCTTGATCCGCCGGCGGCGCACTGCGCAGTTAAAAGCCAAAACGTCTCCATTAAACACACGGCTCGGACTGAGGCGCCTTTGAGCACGGCACAGAAACCGACAAAATATGGCTCGGCTCGCGGCGACGAATTTGCCTCGCATCGCGGCGTGCCTCAGGTTGAGGCAGCGTCTCCACTTGCGCAGCCTCGGAGTGAGGCAGCCGCTCGACCCGAGGCTGCCTCTAGTGGATACGAGGCTTTACAACTGTCGTGACTCTAATCTGCGCTCAGCCTTACATCGGAGCGAGGTGGTGAGGTCACTCGGATTATTTTCGTTTCACGCCCGTGCGTCGAGGTCGAATTGGGGAATAAACACAATGTAACCATTATCTTCACGTGTTGTTGTTGTGATTCATCGGCTGCACTCGAATCAGGTGTTCGTTTTGGAATTTGGAAGCAAGGGGTCAGACTGGTCGCGATAATATAAACGTACATAATGACGTTGTGTACTTTGTCACATATTGCGCTTTGAAATCGACCTGTCTTTAAAAACTGTTGCGACATAATTGACAGTTCAAGTGACCTACATTAAATTGGGGCAACCGATCGTGA